AATATAATATTTATACAGTTAGCCTGGTCTCAGCACTGAAACGGGGACATGGACATGAGCTATCTCTAACCAAGACCCCACAGACATCCACTTGCAAATGAAAATTATTTTCTCTGATGGAGTCTACCTGGGTATATAAACCACACTCAACAGCAGGCCCCAAGGCCAGCAGTAGATGACCAACACAAATTGAACTAAATGCTATTTTTGTAGACTTTTTTTCTCATATTGTTTTGTTTGGGTATTTTTTGTATGATTTGTCTTTTGTTTACTTTGGTTTCTGATTTTGTGTTTTTATGGATTTTGTTCTGTGTGTGTCTGTGTTTCTTGTTTCTTATTAGTTTTCTTTTTAAAATTCTGATTTGTTTGCCTGTATATTTGTTTCGTAAGAATGAAAGAAAGAGTTGGGCATTAGTTGCAAGCATACCTTTAATCTCAGCACTGAGATCGCAGAGGCAGGTGGATCTCTGTGAGTTCGAGGCTAGACTGGTCTACAGTGCTAGTTCCAGGACAGGCTCCAAAGCTATACAAAGAAACCCTGTCTAGAAAAAGAATGAGAAAAAGGATAGCATTTGTGGTGGGGATGATCTGAGAGGAATTGGAGTAGGGGAAGTCATGATTAGAACATATTTAATATATAGAAAAGTCATTTTTGATAAAAAAGAAAAATAAAAAATACGTAAAGTTAGCATACCTTTGGTATTTCATTATAGTAACACATTAGTGTTTACTCTTGTTGTGATGATGACAATTGTTATCTATTATTGTTGATGGTAGGAATCAAATCCAGGGTCTAATCTGTGATAAGCATACCCTGTACCACTGAGTTATACACCCATCCCTGGAATAGAGATCTTATGTCCATGGTCATAGATGAATTATTTGTAACAGTCAAAAAGTAGAAGCAATCAAAAATTCCATTTGTAGATGTGAAAGACCCACAGAGCGTGGACTTTCATGCTTCCACTCAAGAAAGGTGACACCCCAAATCACTCACAAGAAGAGATCTTGATGTAAAAACATGAGGTATTTTATATTTCAAGTGCACTGGGGTCCACAGTCATGTGCCACCCAGGGGTAGAGGACTGAGGACCCTGAGTACAGAATTGAGACAGCTTTTATAGGGTTACAACAAAGCCCGTGCATCTTAAACCCATCATCTCATAGCATCCAGAGCCCACGTGGTGCGGACCAATCAATTTAAACCATCCAAGCCTGCACTTTATAGACCAATCAGTTTTCTATAGCTCAGGAGGTCAGAGGTCTGCATTTGCTCAGGCTCCTGGGTGGGGTGACAAAGCTCATTTCCTATACACAGGTACTCACAGGTCCTGTTGTAAACAGCAAAGAATGTGACCTTTTGCCTACTTACTGCCAGAGGACAGGGTCTGGAATTTAAGGTATTTAGGGCTTATTTTTAGACTTCTAGCTTTCTGGGGTTAGTGAAGAGTTAGGCTGTATTTTTCCATCCTTACAGATGAATGAATGAACATATTTCAAATCCAAAGGACTTCCCTTTTGCCCTGAAAATAAAGAACTTTGGTTCAAAGTTTCAATGGATGGAGATGAACCATAAGCTAGGCACAAAAGATAAACATTGTCTCACTCCACTTGCATGAGGTTTTTGAAATGTTCAAGTTCAAAACCAGAAAGCTAATTCTGGTGAAAGGAAGAGGAAATAGAATTCTATCATTTAATGGATAAAAAATTTCACTTTTGTAAGTGGAAAGTTCTAGAGAATTTTTGTGTAACAATACAAATGTACTTAAACACTGTAGAACTGCACACTTAGAAAGGGTAAATCTGATCTTATGTTTTGTCACAATTAACATAAAAAATTAAAAACCAGTAAACACCTGTCTTAGGGTTTTTATTGCTGTGAAGAGACACCATGACCATGGCAACTCTTACAAATGAAAACACTTAGTTGGGTCTCACTTACAGGTTCAGAGGTTCAATCTATTATTGTCATGGCAAGAAGCATGGCAACATGCAGGCAGACATGGTGGTAGAAAGGAGCTGGTAATTCTACATCCAGATGGGCAGACTGCAGGAATGGATCACAACACTGGGCTGGTTTGGGATTCTGAAACTCCAAAGCCCAAGCCCAGTAACAGACTTCCTCCAACAGGGCCACACCTCCAGTAGTGCCACTTCCTATGAGCTATGGAGACCATTTTCATTCAAACCACCATAACACCTAATTTTTAGAAATGTCCTCTTCTCAGTTACTGTCACCGGTAGCAGGATTCACCAGGGCAACTGTCATCTCCCTTAGTGTCAACACACTGGAATGATGTTAACACAAGTTAATACATGTCCCCTTTGGTTCATTTTTCTCCTAGCTTTTACCAACTTCTGGTGTATTTTATTTATTTTTGTGTCTCATTCATCAGATTAGTTCATTTAGAAAGACACATGTTATTATATTCATTGAGAAGTAATTCCTTGTGCTAGATTTCAACAATAAACAACGTATAAGAGGAGATGTTTCTTTTAGTTCACTGGCTCACAGGTTTTAGGTCATGGTCAGTTGGCCACATAGTCTCTGGGCCTGTGGTTAAGCAGAACATATCAGGGAGTGTGTAGAAAAAGGCAGGAGGAAAGGTGTTTTCCTCATGGCTGACGAGGACAGAGAGAAAGAGGGAAGAAGGGCCATGGTTCCAATATGTCTTACATATGCCTCCAATGGCCTGACTGACTTCCACTGGGCCCCTCGTTAGAATCTACCATCTCCTAACAGCACCACCAACTGGCAACCAAGACTTGAACACATAGGGGGGCATTTCAGATCCCAACTATAACACCCTTAACACCCTTCAAGTAGAACAAAGACAAGCATAGCTTTTTTTTTTTTTTTTTTTTTCTACATTCAAAGTGCCTTATGGCTACCAAAGTACTTCAGCCAGTACTTGAGTGGCTAATTGATTTATATCCACTGTTAAAAAGAAAATACTATGTGTAAAAGTTTTAAAATCATATACATATATACCTTTAGACAGTGGTACTTATTCTACTTGATAAAGAGATACTTTGGTAATATTAAGAGTTTTCTGTGAAATCTTCACTCAAATCATCAAGTCTAAGATTTCATGATATATAAAGACTATGAAACCTGAAATGTGATTTATTTGCTGTAAATATCAGGAAAGCTGTGGGTCTGCCATTAGTATACACACACACACACACATACACACACACACACACACCACTCAGAATACATGTGCGAAAATTTGGCAAATGGAGTTGATTTCCCCTATGTAGTTAATTTTCTCAAATAATAGAATAAACGTTAGATTAAGAAGGACGTTCTTAATGAGTGAATAGTGTATTTTTCGGCACTGAAGAGCAGGTAGAAAGGGGGAAGTTCTATAGTACCTGAAGAATCTGACTAAATGAATTTTTACCTAAGCTATTAAGGAATAATAACGAAAAGATGATCATTTTATCTCCTACAATGGCCTTTCGAATGCAACAGGAAAAAAGCCCAGGCAGAGGGAATTATGCAACAAGTTTTGGTATTATACTGAAAATTATCAGCATTTAATTTTTCCTCCTCTTATATTAATCACATGCCTGTTAGTTCAGGCTAAAGTGGACACTCCCCCTCACCCCACCCCCACGCATTGTTTATGTATAATCAGCCCCAAAAGGTAGAGACAATAGCACAGTTTAATTACACATAAAGGACCTACCTACACATTGTCATTTATAAGCAATTTTTGTATGGGTACCATAGATCAACAGGATTATGCACTTTAAAAAGTGAGGTAACAAGGCATTTAAAAATAACCAAGGTTTAAGGCTACTGCTCTATCACTGACTGCATAAACACTTCAATTTAGTTGGAAATATATGGAACAGACGGGATATTTTTGCAACGGTTGAATAAGATATTATGATGCCAGAAATACAGCTGTCCCCAGGCAGTTAAGCTCTTTATTGAGTTTCTTTACTACTGCATTTGAGTAGGGGATTGTTTGGTACTGTAGGTCACTCTGGGACAGGACTTCCTTGAAATTTCATGAACACTTTGCTAACGTGGGAGAAAAATAGAGATATTTTGGAACTGTTCCTTGGAAGAAGGGGCAGAAACATTTACTAATTTTTTTTTTTTTTTTTTTTTTTAAAGAAATGTCTTGCTTGGCTTTTGGAGATTTTGGTGCACAAACCCCATGGATATTAAAAGGTACACAACTTGACAAGCTGGAACTGCCTTCCCGTCTTTCAACGTCTTTTCTGAAGCCACACTCTGCAAGCTTAAGCCTTCAATTGTTTTACTGGCAGTCCTGGCCATAGATCGGTGTGTTCCTCCGCCTGGAGATGGGGTAGTCAGCCAGTTCTAGCACGCGGTCTCCGTGTTAGCTCCGCCCCGAACTGCCCTCTTCCAACATGGCGCCCCAGGAGGCGGGTCCCACTCGTTGGCTCCCCGGGTTCCGGCGCCGTGAGTTTTGGTTCCGGAGTAACAGCGTTCTAGCAGCCTCCTTCCCCCACTCGCCGCCACTTCTGCCGCCGGGACGCGGGCCTTCGTCGGTCGAGCCCGCATGCCCCACACCCTCCGGTTCCGGTTGCAGCCCAGGGTCCGCCCCCTGACCTCGCGGTGCCGGGCTCTCCGGTCTGGTGGAGGGCAGGCGGTACCGGTGCTTCTCCCTAACAGCCCCGACCCAGCCCTTGGCACCCAGCCACCCTCCCCTTGCCCACCAGGACAGCAGGACACTGACTGATGCACTTCCCCTAAACCAGGCCGTTTTTCTGCTGTCTCCTATTGCCCTCATGGACTTCAAAATGCTTTTCGATTTTGTTTTGTCCACTTTTGTAACTCCAGGACCTTCCGCTCTCTGCTAATCCCTTTTGGCCGGTACCCCTTCCCCAGTGCATCTATCCCCAAAGACTCAAAACTCCACAGGACCTGGGCCTGGTTCGGGGTCTGTGAACTCCCTCCTGATCGCCCCTCTTCACTTCTCCCACCTTCCTGCTCCCTGCTTTTATCACCTGTGTCTCGTCTCTTGTTCCCCTTGTCATTTCTTGGGGCTCCTGAGCAGGGGCTAATCGGTACCCCTCACCCCAGGATGTGAGACCCTTTAACCTGTAATGCTGTGGCTGGCTCTTGGCCCCTTCCCTGCTATGGAGAACCAAGGGCTGGTGATTCGGATCAAGATTCCAAATAGTGGCGCGGTGGACTGGACCGTGCACTCTGGGCCGCAGTTACTCTTCAGGGATGTGCTGGTGAGTGGTAATCTTAGTGGCCAAATTCCAGCATTGGGGCATAAGACCTGGATTGACAGCATCTTGGCCACTAGAGTGGCTGGAGCTGGTCCTGGAGGGGTCATCTTACTAGATTCACCCACAGTATCGATTAATTGCATCCACTGAAAACTGGTAAATGTGCAGGGTCCTGGGGAAATAGATGAATCTGATTGATTGAACCTCTGCCCTCAGGAAGCTCACAGCTTGGACTGGGACTTACACATCAGAGTAAGCAACGGGTGTATAAAAAGATGAATTTAAAAAAAGTTTTTTTTTTTTTTTTTTTAATTTCCTCTCAAGTGTTTGGGAAGCATCCCTGCCCTCATTTTAGCCCTGTCACTGCCGAGTTCCCTGAACTTGTGACCTCTTGTGAAAAGGAAACCAGTGCAACCTTAATTTACAATGTTTAAAGCAAACCTTAGATGCCGTTGATTGAAAGACATAAATTTAACTATCAATAAGAAAAAAAAAATGCTGCTTGTTTAAACAGCAGCAACCATCCCATGGCGGGGATGTGGAGGGCAGCTCAATTTCAGAGATTTTGAGTGTTGAGGGGAAAATTCCAGAGATGTTGAGTGTTGAAGGAAAATATGCATTTTAGAATCGACAGGGCATTGCCTCGGGGGTAGTCAGAATATATTTCACACAGATTTATAAAGGTTAATGTAGGTGGACCCTTGAGTCCATATATACTATAAATTATATAGTACTATATGTATGAATACATGTACTGAGTTGATAGTAAAAGGACCTTCTCTGGAATTATTGCTTCTGAAGATGAGTGCTAAAACTCCAGCTTTCTTATATAATATGTTTTTGCATGTGTGTGCAGATGTCCATGCATGCATGTTGAGATCAGAGATCAAACTCAGGCATGATTCCTCATGTGCCATCCACCTTGTATTTTGAGACAAGGCTGGCTGGCCAGCAAGCCCCACCTGTTTTAGCATCTCCAGTGCTGAGATTACAAACATATGTACCACCATGTTGGACCACCTCTCAAGCCTCTACCACCTGGCTTTTTTACGGTTCTGGGGATCAAACTCAGGTCCTCATGTTTGCATGGCAAACACTTGGCCAGCTGAGCCATCTCCCTGGGCCCCAAACTTAATTTTGCATTCTATACTATCCCCACATACTGCAGCCCATGTGCATCTTTCTAGTTATTTGATATCAATAGGGTGTAGTATATTCACTTTATGCATGGAAGTAACTCAGAGACAGAATTGGATATACCAGTAAGAATGTTCTAACAGGCCGATGTGTAGCCTGCGTGTGTGTGTGTGTGTGTGTGTGTGTGTGTGTGTGTGTGTGCTTTCAAAATTATATATATAAAATTTCATTTTGAGAGCTAGATGGCACTGACCATCCAGGCCATAAAGGCTTTCAGGTACTTAGAACAAGAGTGTGGCACCTGTAGTGAGCTAGCAGCCCCCAGTTTTTGACACCAAATGCCATCCCTCCCCTGCATCTGATGCCTTTCACACACATGCCCATTGATAACTATCTTTCCTCATAAGCCCACACAGCCCTCATCACTGTCCTCAGCTCCACCTTGATTGGTCTGGTACATGTGTCCTTTCTTGCAGCACCCTCACGAGCATCCTGTGTCCCAAGTATACTGAGTTACTGTTGGTCCTCCCAGGTACCCAGGCCGCGCCTCCACTTTGCCTTTTTCTTTAGCTGGCCAACTCTCACCTGTCCTTCCACACCAAGCTTCACTTCCTTCTGTTAGTGTTGGTCAGGTGGCCACATCAGTATTCCTGTGTCTATTCCTGTGGCAAAGCATACATTTAGTCATGATTACTTTCTTGTCCATTATTCTAGAAGGTAAAACTTCTGAAGGAGAGAGAGAGAGAGCTCTGTTTATGTTGCTTCATAGGACCCTGAAATTTATTTATTGCTAGAGCTCAGAACAGGAGGAAAGGCCAGTGAGATGGCTCTTTGTGGGTAAAGGTACATACTGTGCAAGCCTGACAACCTGAGTGCAGTCCGTGGAACCCATGGGAGAACCAACTCCTGAGAGTTGTTTTCTGATTTCCACACGTGTTCATCCATGTTTACATGCACATGTTTATAAAATAAATGAAAGATTTTAAAAAGAATATTTAGCTTAGAAAGCAAGCAAGCAAGCCTACATACAGAGCAAGATCCAGGATAGGCTCCAAAACAATACAGAACCCTGTCTCAAAAAAACAAAAACAAAAACAAAAAAACAACTCAGATATGTGCAGTTATAATTTGTGCAGACCACTGGCTTCTTGTTTTGAGACATGATGTCATATTGCTCAGCCTGATCTCAAATTGCCTATTTTATGAAGGGTATCCTCTAACTCCCTATCCCTCTAGTTCTTGAATGCTGGGTGAGCGCTAGATTCTGAGTCAGGCAGTTTGGACTTTACTGCCAGTGTGCCATTAGCTTGGCATGTCACTATCTCTCTGAGCCTCAGTTTCCTTGTTTCTAAATGGGACACCTGCATCAAGACTGGTGAAGATGAAGCACACAGAAAGCGCTCTGTAAATATTGACACTATCATGTAAGGGATAGGACCTGGCCTCCCTCTTCTCACTACCCCCAGGAGACATCACACTGGTGGCCCACAACTAGGGCTCAGAGCTGTTTGTTGGGACATTTTGCTCATGAGAGCAGCTGGAACACATTTGTCAGTAAATGCCAACAAAGAACTTGGAACCAGCCTGTGCTGCTGTCTCATGACAAGTCTGGCAGGGTGCCGCCTAAGGTCCTTGTTGTCTGCTCTCCTGCTTCACCTCACCTCTTCCATCAGAAAAGACAAAACTCCAAAGAAATCAACATCTCTGCCTTGGAACCTAAAGCTTTAAGGCCATGTGAAACTTGGGTGGCCCCTTTGTCTAACCTGAGCCCCTTCTCATACTTCCCAGTTTTCAGATGAGGAAGCTGTACTTGAAGGGGAAGGGCCTTGCAGAGCCATAAAACTAGTTTTTTTTTTTTTTTTTTTTTTTTTGAAAACCTAACACAGAAGCGAGAGCAGGTTTTAATCACCAAGTCAGAGTGATTGAGTATCCGAGACTGCAGTCAGTAGTTGAAGATTCTGGTGGCTGATTCTCCTAATGGCTGAGAGACCCTGTGCTGGTCACTCATCCTGTCCTCTCTAGGCTTGCCTGTTGCCAGGAGCTAAATAAATGCAGTGGGAAGAAGCCAAAACCAAGGGCAAAGACACTGGGCTTGTTTTTCCTCTGCCTTCCCCCTCATCCCTGGAGACAGTCTCAGGTTCTAGAAATTGTAGGGTTGGGTTGATTATTGTGAAGGACAGGAGAGTGAGTTTTCCCTTTCTCTTTAAATGCTGGCTTGAAGTCCCACTTCCGGTTGTTCCCTGTTTGTGACATTTCTGCGAAAATTGAATCCGTGATTCTTCATCTTGAGTGTCAGATTTTTGTTTTTCCTTGTTGTGACAAGATTTCTAACAAAAGCCATTTAAGGAAGAAAGGTTCAATTGTCACTCACAGTCTGAGGGTCTGGCAGGGAAGGCAGGGCAGTAGGATCAGGAGGCAGCTGCAGTCAGGAAGCATAAAACGATGATGCTGTTCAGCCCATGTCCATGGAATGGTGTCGCCATGTTGAAAGTGTGCCTTTCCACCTCAGTTAACACAATGTAGGAACTCCCTGACGGACATGACCAGAGGTTTGCCGCTTAAGGGCATCTAGGTCCCGTCAGGTTGACAGGCAATGTTAATGATCACTGTGAACAAATAGTTTGCTCTAAACATCTTTCACTTGGCTCTTTTTGTTACAAGAAGTACTTTCTGTTGCCCATCTTATCTCAGAGAACAAATTATAGTCTTGCTGAAGTCAAGAGCCAAGTCTTAACCTGCGCCAACTTACAAAGCTCCTGGCATTCTACAGAGACTGTCTTACATCTCTTTTGTTAGATATTTGTATGACTGATTGAGGGGAAGAAAGAGAAATCAAGAAATGATCACTGTCAAGTTGTGTCAATTTAAATTTTCTTTTGAAAACATCTTTAGGTAAAGACAAATTTTACATTTTGAGGATAACAGAAATTCCCTTGGAAACAAGTGCAAAATAAGCTCTTAAAGTAAACTGGAAATGTACACAAAGCCATTAAATGTGCCCTGTGGGGGCAGGAGGGGGGATGGCCAATAGAGGGATTGGAGAGACCGATCTGCCCCTCTGGCTGTGTGCAGGCTTCTGTCTTTCACCCAGGACTGCCTGTATACTTAATTCTGTAGCCAGTGTATAGCTAGCTCCCTGTTAAGAGATGCTTGCTATCTATGAGTGTGTAGAAAGAATTTCCTAACCCTACATTTCCTCACAAAGTTGATGTTTCATTTGATCAAATTAGAGGCAGAGAAGACATCACCTCATTTTGACTGATGAATAAGGGTTATGTAGGTTAGTTGTTCTCCCTGACCAATTTTTTTTTTAATGCACAGATTTATTTTTTGAAGGAAAAAAAAAAAAAGAGGAAAAAGAAATGCCAAGATGATTATGCATATTGGCACTGCAGCAAATGCTCCTGAAGAATTGCCTTCAGAAGGAAGTTGCAGCCTCTACTCTGCTAAGTGCCCTGCTTTGGAAGGGCTTTGGGCTCCCTGCTGAGACACACTGCCAGCCTGCTTTGTCAGCTGGCTGCCTGGTGCCAGTTCTGGCACAGTCTGGGCATGGGAGGGCCATCACTGCAGTGCTCCTGGGGAGAAATGAGGTCTGCAAGGCTTTTGCAGTGGGATTGGACATGATGGAGGGCCTCTTTTCCCAGAACTTAGGTGTTCTGTGCCTCTTCAATTTAGTTGCCCTGCACACTAATTTTTTAGTGTTTTCAACTTTAGAGAATCATTTACATATTAATATCAGATTATATACACCTTCCAGGACTCCCTCCCCAAATTAACTTGATTCAGCAACATTAAATATCTTTCCATTGATTAGGTTAATGAGAACTGTCTTATTACCCTTGGCTGAATATCATCACAGAAAGTTGTTTGCTAAATCTACTACTATAAGAACAAGGCACTATGTAGTCTTTACAGATCAGGAACCACATTTATTGAATGCTTACAATGTATCATGTGTTAAGTTTATGTTTATTACATTATTTACTTTTCACATTAACCTTTCAGTGTCACTAGATCCAATTTGGAAAATAATGAGAATGAGGTTCAGAGTGGTTAAGTAAAATGTTTCCCAGGTACATCTAATAGTAGGGATCCAAACCTAGGGTGTTCTAACTCTTGAACCTCTCTCCCAACCCCCAAACCCAGCCTCCGATATAAGAAACTGTGTGTGAGGGAAGAGAGAGAAAAAGAGATTGATATGCACTGTTGAATTGAGAATAAAAGATTGTCTTCAATATATTTTGAAGGGTTTCTACCCCTTTTTTCTTGAAATAGAGATTTAAACTTTCTGGATAAGTGTGAGTGTAAGCTCGTGTTTCTATAGTTCATGTCAGCATTTCAAAAATCTTTCCCAGGTTCCCCTGTTTTCTTTTGGACTTGCTACATGTTGGCAATCAAGAAGATGGCTAATTGTGCTTCTTTATTCTTTCTTTGTTTAGGATGTGATAGGCCAGGTTCTGCCTGAAGCAACGACGACAGCATTTGAATGTGAGTCTGGCTTGTGTGCTCTCCCGATTCTTTCTTTCTGCAGTGATATTTCATATGCTTTATGGGTTGCATTACTTTCAAAACTGACAAAAACAGATTATTTATGATCATCATATGGTACATTTAAATATTTATAAATTAATGCAAGTTTAATGATGATACTAAACTGAGTAATATTTTCTTATTTAATCATATCTTGGGTGTGCATATCTCTACAATATAGCTTTAATTACCAACATGACCTTTATCTGCTCTTCTCATTGTTATAATAGTGCAGGGCAAAATGAAACGTGTAAACTACCTGTAGAGCAATGATTGTTGATGAAGAGGTATTAATCCTTAGTGCTTTAGGACATAGCAGCAGAGGAAAGCTCTCAAGAGCAGTGTGTGCAATGATTCTGTTTCAGTGGGGTTTGGCTTCCCTGCTAGATGATGACAGGGCCACCTCTGTCCTGAATCCTTTGCTCTCCATTGAACTGGCTTTATGAACAGGGCTGGGATGTGTTAGGAAACGTTGACTACAGTCCAGGTCATTGCAAGGCAAGTCCCGATGCTAATTTAGAGGTAGTTTAGGACCTCAGGTACCGATGGAGAAGGGTAAAGAAAGTCAGGGTTTGGAATTGTAGTCTAGCCTTTTTTTGAAAATGGGGTCATGAGCTGAGGAGATTACTCAGTGGCAAAATACTTGTTATGCCATTGTGAGAACCTAAGTTATAATCCTCAGAACCTGTGCAAAAGCTGAGCATAGTAGCACATATTTGCAACCCCAGTACTCCTATGGCAGGGGAAGAGATAGAGACAGCAGGTCCAGATGCTATGGGGCCAGCTAGCCTGATCAACAAACAGCAAAAAAGAGACCCTGGTTTAGACAAGATAGAAAGAAAGACCAATAGTTATTGCTGGATTCTGACCTCCATACATGTGCTGTGTGGTATATGCTCATCCTCTCTCACACATAGCAACATGCCCATATGTACTCCTACACACATATACACATCATATACACACATGCACATAAAATGTGTGCCACTTTACAAATGGAAATAATTGCCACTTTTTCCCGCACGTGACTGTGCTTTTGTTCTTGTTTTAAAAATGATCACTAGTAGAGTATACAGTAAGAAATGACAGTACAGTGCTGTGCCCTTGTTACAGGACAATTTGACCATACTAACAGGTAAGCTATGTAGCACTTTTGACTCAGCGGATCTCTCTTGGAAGCTGTCTAACAGAAGCATTGTATGCCCTTATTGAAACAAAATGTACATGGTAGGATTATTTTTTTGATAGTAAAAAACTATATGTAAGAAAAATGCCTCTGCAGAGTGCACTAATAAATGATAATGTGTCTGTGTTCTGAAGCATGCAGCAGTACCTGAAAAGAACAAGTTCAGAGTCTATGTGTTGAGACAGAAAGAGACCAGGATTCATTGTTAAATGGACAAATGATGTGTATGATGCAATCCCATTTCATCAAAGTTCTAGCCTCCTTACCCACCTCATAGGTTTACTGGGGACAGGATCTACAGAGGGCCCAATGCAGTGCAGACATGGGCTGTGCAGGTTTAGAGATGAGTAAGGCACTGTTCACTTCATGTATGTCCCTATTGCTAGAATAGTGTTCAGTAATCAAACTTGCTTTTAGCTACTACAGTGAGTAGGACTATGAATTACTATTTTATTAATGGCACTAGGCTCTTCATGCTATTGAGGAATATACGTGTGTGTGTGTGTATGTATATATACATAGGTATATACATACACACACACACACACACACACACACACACACACACACACACACACACACACACCTGAAAAGCTCTATTTAGACTTCTTTCAAGTAGCCTGAGCCCAGGAATAGTTCAAGACTGAGTGGTATTCATACTGCTGCCAGATGACTTAGCCCATTTTCATTAGCCTTCACAAGATACCCACAAAGTATATTGAAGGACAGTTGTTGCTGTTTCAGCCCAAGAAAGGGCATCTCTAAGAACTGAACAGCTGAACAGCTTGCTCATATGTGTAAGTGGGAGTGCGTTTTGGAGCATGTTTTTTCAACCATTGCACGGGACTTGTAAGAGTTGCCACAACTGAAGTGTATTTTCTCTGGTTTTCCATAAACACGGCAAAGAGTTTCATTTTACTTTATTTTAATCTCAATCTCTCTCTCTCCTCTCTCTCTCTCTCTCTCTCTCTCTCTGTGTGTGTGTGTGTGTGTGTGCTCTCACACTCCCTACTCAGGTACTTGTGCAAATCAGATGACAATTCTCAGGAGTCAGTTTTCTCCTTTCATATTGGACTCTAGAAATTAAACTCAGATCATCAGGCTTGCACAGGCAGGCCTAACTTTATACTCTCCACTCTGGACCCAAGCCTACTCCACTAACTTCCAGGTTTAGCATTCATAATAAAGTACTAATTGTTCTGACTTACTTACTGATGGCTTTCTCTGAGCCAGCCTATGTACTAGATTCTTCCTATAGATCATTGCTGGGGCTTAATAATCTTTGCAGCGACTCTGCAAAGTAGGAAAATTAGACCAGTGAGGCAACTGTAACTCACAGATATGAAGGGATGGCCAGGAAGTCACAGAGCCCAGTCTCAAACACGAACAGTCATTGGAAGCACATGGAAATCTCTGAAGCATAAATTAAAAACTGGTCAGACTTTGAGGTTTCTTCTGTTCTTTTCTTTCTTTTCTTTCTTTCTTTCTTTCTTTTTTTTTTTTTTTTTTTTGTGTGTGTGTGTGTGTGTGTGTGTGTGTGACAGGGTTTCTCTGGCTGTCCTGGAACTTACTTTGTAGACTAGGCTGGACTTGAACTCACAGAGATTCACCTGCTTCTGCTTCCTGAGTGCTGGGATTAAAGTAGTGTGCTACCACTGCCCAGCTGAGATGTCCATTCTTTAATGTCATGCTCTGTATTCTCCAGCAAGGATAGCAATTCTGTATCTGGCCGTTTGCAGATCTGCTCTGCTCATCTGTAGATTATATCAAGCTTCTCTTCCTCTCTCCTCTATTCCCTTCTTGCTCTTCCTCCTTTCCCCACCCCCTCTTCTCGCCAAGTGCTAGGACTGTGGACATTTGCCTCAACATCCAACTCTGGACCAGCTATAAGGCAAAAAACAAACAAAAATAACAATATACACACAGAGAGAAAAAATAATGACAGCCTTTGGTTGTTATTGGCTGATCATCATAAACTTAGCCTGGCTTTTCTCATGACTGTTTTTGAGTAGCTCAATTGTCTGACTCAAAAATCTGAACCACTAAGTAAAACCAATATGCAAGAAATAGTTAAGATTTGGTTTGGAGGTGATTTTGCTGGGAAGTCTGAGGCATTTTGGTGGTTTGTGGATGAGTAACCCTCAAATAAATAAAACTTTGTGAAAGGACCATTTAACACTGCAGCGAGTACCCAACCCTGACTCCTCACATTGGAGAGATAGTGTGATAATTATGGAGCAGCAAGAGACAGCACAGAGCTCAAAGCTACCAGTTTTCATAAAGATAGGGGGAACGAGTTGAAAGAATGAGAAAAGAGAAATGTTGCTGACATAACAGATTGCCTGGTGGCAGCTCTTATGGGGCTTGTCTCTCCATGTACTGTTGTCAGAGTGGACAGGCCAGCTGCCTCTGGTTGCCTTTCCTTCCCTCAAAGCGTCAGTCACTTCCTTCATTCACTTCTTTGCACTAACTCTGGATCTTTGGGGGACATGCTTGTTGAAGAATCAGTGTCCCATGTGTCTATGTTCAAATGAAAGTTGTGAAATGCACATGAGCTACAGCTAAATGGATACTGTCCTTTGCTTTGGAATTATCTGTGCTATTGCCTGGACCTTAGATGTGTTTGGTTATGGTGGGACAAGTTGGGCTCCAATTCAAATTCCCACCAGTACAGTTCTGAGGGGTCAGAGGTTCCACAGTTGCTGTTTTCTCCCTGGGCTGGTGTTTCCAAGGGAATTAGGGCTGTATGGGATAGGAGAGAAGCCCCTGTGGGCCACACTCACTCCTGGGGTGGTGGCCCTAAGCCTCTTTTTCTTACTACCCATGTAGGTTCTTCTGCCACATAATAGAGCACAAATGAGCCTATTTAGTTTTGCATTTATTTAGTGTGTGTCTGTGGGGGCATGTGCGCGTGTGTACTGGAACTTGCACTTACACATGCTTATACACGTAGGCCATGTCACACATGTGGAAGTCATAGGACAGCTTGCAGGAAGTAGAGTTCTCCTTCCACCATATGTATCAGGGATTAGAGTCAGGCGCTCAGGCCCAGTAATGAGTGCCTTAGCCCTCTGAGCCAACTTGGTAACCCAAAAGTACTTATTAATACCTAGTGGGTTGCTTGTTTTTTTTTTTGTTTGTTTGCTTGTTTGTTGTTGTTGTTTTTATATAATGGTATATTGCTACAAATTTTAAGTAGCTTAGAAATAAAGCAAAAAGTCCCCATTTTCTCATTTATTGTTAGCACTTTGTTGAGTTCCCTTATATGCTGTGTGGCTGCCATCTTCCTGCCCTCATTTGCTATCCTGTATTATTAGACTTCCTGACAGCATTGGCGTATACATATTAACTTCAGTCTTTGGCTGTGACTTAAATTATTTAATCTAGTAGATGGACATTTAAGTTTTTACCAGCTCTTTAGAACTAGAAAAAAAAATGCAGAAATCAACAGTGGTGGCTTAGATCTTCCCACATTAAGGAAGTTGATATGTAGGATCGAGTGCTAGGCATTTGAAGTCACTGTAGTAAAGAAAACCCTCTGCTCTGAACTTCCGTGTCCATGTTTGCTTTCCAAAAAGGGACTCATTCACAACCCCCCAACATGTCAGAAAGCCCTTTCTCTACCCTCAGCAATGCTCTAGGTACTAGTGAATTTCTTCTCAATGTTAGTTTGATAGGTGCAAAAGTTATTGCCTTTCTCTTTCTATTTCTTTGAGTGTATCTTTTTATGTGTACTTAATGTCTATAAACTATTTTTTTCATCACCTTTGCC